ATAAACTCATTTTAGTTGATATTTCTAATCACTCTGAGACATTTTTTTTTGTTTTTTTGTTTTTTTGTTTTACATGTCTTTTCATTAGAGTAATGTTTATTGGACCAAATTTGCCGATCAAATCCTTACTTGTGGTAAGATCAAAAGTGGGTCCTAATAATCTAATATCATATGAGAACTATCGTCAATCCAACCACACCAATAGATTTGATCCACAAATTTGATGTAACTAATAATCTAGCCCAAGTAGCACTATTGCTCTCTCAACATACAAACATAGCAAATTTATGAGTCATTAAAGATGCATACTAGAAGAATCTAACTCTACTCCTTCCAATTACTTCAACCCTTGTCTTATTGTTAGAACTGAACTAGGTTACTGAAAAACAGAGTATGATTGCACTAGTAAACTCAAGAGAATTCTTATTGAACTAAAACACAACCTTGACTATTAAATAGCTTTACATCAAACAAGAAATAAGATAACAACCCACTATTATACAAGTCTTAGAATTGTGGTAAGTGACTAGGTCAGAAACAGAAAAACAAACTTGTCCCTCAAGTATAGGAGGGTTATTAGCATATCTAGGAATAAATCCTAGAATAAAGGAATCCTAACAACTAAAATCTTGACAATTTCAACATCCTCCCTTAAACTGAATACCATTGATATTCAGTTTATTCTAGGGTATTCGCAAACACCCATTAACTCTCGCAACTTTAGAAACACTTCAAGCTTCAGCGGCTTTGTCATGATGTCTGCAATCTGCTCTTGAGTAGAACATTGCAACAGCTCCACTACCCCATCTTTGACGAGGCCTCGAAGAAAATGAAACCGTACATCTATATGCTTGCTACGACCATGCATTACTGGATTCTTTGAAAGCTTAATGGTTGAGACATTATCACAATAAACCAATGTTGGACCAGTTTGCCTCAAATTTAATGTTCTCAAAATTCTTCTTAACCACACCACTTGACACACACTTGAAGCTGCAACAATAAACTCTGCTTCAGTAGTGGAAAGAGTAACCACTGGTTGCTTTTTCGAGGACCATGAAATTGCTCTTGAATTCATCATAAAGACATAACCTGAAGTACTCTTTGTGTCATCTTGATCACCAGCATAGTCAATGTCCGTGTTGCCAATAAGTTCTTCATCTCCTTCTTTCTTGTAGAATACCCAAAACCCACAGTGCCTTTCACGTACCTTAAAATCCTTTTATCTGCCAATAAATGAGACTCAGTAGGATGATCCATGTATCTATTAATTAGACTTACAGTGAACATAAGATCAGGACGTGCAGTTGTTAAATACATGAGACTTCCAACCAATTGCTTATAAAGCGTGCTATCAACTCCCACTCCCCCTTCATCACGAGTAAGTTTAAATCCAGGAACCACAGGATTATGCACTGATTTGCATTGAACCATGTTAAACCTTTCCAATACTTCTTGTGGATACTTCCGTTTACTAATAAATATGCCATCCGTTGTCTACACCACTTCAATGCCAAGAAAGTACCTCATTTTTCTGAGATCAGTCATATCAAACTCAACCATCATGAACCTTTTTAATTGCTTGAACAATAACTCATCATTCCCAGTGAATATAAGATCATCAACATAGAGGCATACAATCAAAATTTTACCTTCATTGGTTGTCTTGATGAACAATGTATGCTCGTAGGGACATTTATTGAAACCCTCCTTAATGAGATACAATTATATTCAACTGTACCATGCCCATGGTGCCTGTTTGAGTCCGTATAGTGCCTTTTTGAGACAATATACCTTGTATTCGCTCCCCTTTTATTCATAACCAGGTGGTTGATCAACAAAAACTTCCTCATTAATCTCTCCATGAAGAAAAGTTGATTTGACATCGTGTTGGTAGATCTTCCAACTCTTTTGTGCAGCAAGGGAAATAACCACTCGAATTGTATCCAATCGAGTCACTAGTACAAACACTTCAGAAAAATCCACTCCATATTTTTGACTATATCCCTTGGCAACAAGTTGAGCCTCGTACTTGTCCACCTCCCCATTTTCATTCAGTTTTGTCTTGAAACCCCACTTTACTCCAATAGTTTTTCCCCCAGATGGCAAATCAGTCAATTCCCACGTATCATTCTTCACCATGGCTTCTATTTCTTGATTCATTGCTTGTTTCCATTTCTCACTCTTCACGGCATCATCATAAGTAGTGGGATCACCATTAGTAAATAGGGCTAGGTGAGCCAAGTTCACGCTTTCTTCATTAGAGAGACCTTCACCAGTTTTATAATCTCTCATCCAAATTGGTGGCCTTCGAGTTCGCCCCTCTTGAGTTGCACTATCTTCATTCGTGATATCTCCTGTTTCTAATGAATCACTTCCATCAGACTCATTATTTCCTTTATCTTCATTAGCTCCAGATCCTTCTGCATCTCCTTGATCTTCTGTAATTATTTCTTCATCCATTTCCCATTCTAGATCAGCTAAAATAGCCTGTTCATGACTTTCATCCCAATTCCATTGTTGATCTTTCTCAAAAACCACATCTCAGCTTACAATAATTTTCTGTGAAATGGGATCAAATAATCTATAAGCTTTGGATTCTTCACTTACCCCCAAACAATATGCATTTGAAGCTTTTGTCATCAAGTTTCATTCTTTTGCTATCAAGTACATGCACATGAGATAGGCATCCAAAGACTCTAAAGTAATCCACTGATGGTTTGCGCCCACTCCAAGCTTCTTCAAGTGTCTTGTTTTTCACGGCAAGGGTTGGACTTCGATTCAACACATGCACTGCCCAGTTCACTGCTTCTGGCCAAAAAGTCTTTGGAAGTTGCTTCTCTGATAGCATGCACTGAATCATATTCATGATAGTTCGATTCTTCCTTTCAACAACACCGTTTTGTTGAGGCGTGTAGGCAGCTGTCAACTGTCTATGAATGCCATTCATATTGCAGAAACTTGTGAATTCATGTGATGTGAACTCACCTCCTCGATCTGTCCTTAAGCCTCTTATAAATGCTCATGTTTCCTTCTCCACTCTAGCTTTATACGTTTTGAACATAGCAAAAGCTTCTGATTTCTCCACTAGAAAGTAAACCCAAGTTCTTCTATTGTAATCATCAATAAAAGTGATGAGGTATCTCTTCTTACTATTTGAGATTGGACTTACTGGGCCACATATATCAGCATGTATCAACTGTAGTACCTTGGAAGCTCTCCACACACTTTCCCTTGGAAAAGAATCACGATGTTGCTTTCCCACAAGGAAGTCTTCACACATTTTCTGAGAATCTTTGAACTTTGGCAGCCCTTCAACCATATTCTTTTGTTGTAGCACTTTCAATCCATTCTAACTTATATACCCACATCGACGATGCCGACGATTTGCTTGATCTGTGGTTGTCATGGAGAGACAATTTTGTTTCTTCAATGGGCAGCGAGCAATCAAGGCAAACATCCTATTGTATGTCATCTCACTTTCAAGAATTAGACCCTTCTCAGGATGAAAAATCTTACACCCTCCATGTTGCATGAGCACTGCGAATCCCCTCTCTTAAAGTTGACCGATACTCAACAAATTATTCTTCAACTCAGGTACAAAGAAGACTCTTGTAATCATATGCACGATCCTACGCACCTCCATTCTCACCTTGCCCTTGCCTTGTACACTGAGATTGGAATCATTTCCCAGCTTCACTGACTCTCGAAAATTGTCATCCATCTCAATAAATGTTTCCCTTTTGCCACACATATGATTGTTACATCCAGAATCAAGAAACCAAATATACTCCATCTCAGCTTCCTTAACATCCACCTGCGCCATTAGCAACATTTCTTCCTTTGTTTCTGCAAAATTAGCCTTAGAATCCCTAGCTTTCTTCGGGCATTCCCACTGAAAATGTCCTAGCTCATGACAGTTGTTGCATTTTAGGATAGATTTGTCAAACCCAAATCTACCCCTTCCTCTTCCTCTTCCACGATAGGAACCACGACCACCACCTCTTCCTTCTTGTTGAACTTCAGAAGTTACTTGAAGAGCTTGTTCATCCTCCACATGCCAACTCATTCTTTATTCATGCATGAGGAGACTGCTCTGAAGCTCATCAATGGATAAAGCATCCAAGTCATTTGACTCCTCAATCGAGCAGACAACATAATCATATTTTGAAGTCATAGACCTTAAAATTTTCTCAATGATCACCACATCCTCCATTCTTTCTCCATGAAGCCTCATCTTGTTGGCTATAATGAGCGTTCTTCCAAAGTAGTTGTTGATGGTTTTCCCAGCCTTCATTTGCAGTAATTCAAACTCCTTTCAAAGCGCCTGCAATTGAGCACGCTTCACACGCCCTGTTCCTTGATACTTCTGCTTCAAGGAATCCTAGATATCCTTCACAGTGTCCTTCTTCAAGATCATTTCCAGGATCAAACGATCAATGGCTTGGAACAGATAGTTCTTGGCCTTCAAGTCTTTCAACTTCTGCGAGTCACTAGAATCAACTCCTTTTGCTACTGCAGTGATTCCTGTCTCCACCAAGTTCCAATATTCCGTGGAACGCAGAAAATTTTTCATAAGCATACTCCAATGATCATAGTGCCCATCGAGCCTTGGTATGGCAGGTTGTACAAAACTATTCTCAAACTTCATGTTCTTGTTCTCTCACACTGGTAACTGTGTTTGCCGGTTCATGATCTGGCTCTGATACCAGATGTTAGAACTGAACTAGCTTACTGAAAAACAGAGTATGATTGCACTAGTAAACTCAGGATAATTCTTATTAAACTAAAACACAACCTTGGCTATTAAATAGCTTTACATCAAACAGTAAATAAGATAACAACCCACGATTATACAGGTCCTAGAATCATGGTAAGTGACTAGGTCAGAAATAGAAAAGCAAACTTGTCCCTCAAGTATAAAAGGGTTATTAGCATATCTAGGAATAAATCCTAGAATAAAGGAATCCTAACAACTAAAATCTTGACAATTTCAACACTTATAGCCTCGGTGGAAGCATACCCTCTTGGAAGGTTTGATCTTCATTGGTTCCAAATGCTTCAAACAAGACATAGTTGTCCATCATAGGCATCAAAATCTCATCATTGTAGAAAAATGGTTCAGAGTACATAGGCAGAGGGGATTTTATGTCAGAGAAGAAGCTTTTCATATCTTCTATCCAAGAATGTGAAACAGTAGTACTTCCATTATCTTCCTCTTTAGTCAATCCTCCATTAGAACTGTTCTTTTTGTTTTCACTGTGAATTGGCTCAGATCTTGGTAATGGGGTTTTGTTCCTGTTGTTGTTGGGATCAATTCTTCTTGTTCTTTCACCTCGAGGGCATTTCTTGTTCAAATGGGTATTCCAATAGTTCTTCACTTCATTGTCTGTCCGACCTGGGAGCCGACCCGCAATCAACGACCAGCTATACATGCAGAAGAAGAGAGAGTTCAGAGTATTGTTTGATAACCTTTTTAAAAATAATATTTTTTTAAACAAGAAGCAATTTTGTAAAAAAAAAAACGTAAAAGCATGTGCATTACTATTTTTGTAGAAGTAACCTTGATTTATTTTAATATAGAAATAATATATTTATAATAGTACTTATCCATGCTTGAAGGTACAAATAACATTAAAAATTGCTAATTAGGAAAAAATATATTCAATTTGGTTGAATTCCTAATTTCTTTAGCAGGCACCTTTTAACAGTGGGTAAAGCCTGAAAATGAACCACTTTCTCTCAGTGACAGAATTAAGGGTTTGATATTTTAAGGGTAGGATTGTCTGCTCACTTTATATTTTTGGGATAAGTATTTTTTAAGGGGCATTTTTTGAAATATACAACTTTTATTAGCTAATGTCATTGATATTATTGTAAGTCGTTAGGCAACGGTGGTCTGTGTATTAAGATTTGTAAAAGTCAAAGGATTGACGTGCAATTTTAAAAATGTGAAGGGATCGCCGTCTCAATTTACAAAAAGTTAGTGGGTGCGAGAGAAATTGACTCGAGCCTTTTCTTAGGCCGAGAGAGCATTAGGGCTGCATATATATAGGGAATATTTTACTCCAATCAAGGCATTGGATTAACGTACACGTTGGTTCATTACAGACAGAGTAATGGGCGGGAAAAGCGGAATTTTATCGGAGAAATTTTAGTTATTGGATCAAAGTTTTGATTCAAATCATTTGTACTTTATTTATATAATTTATTGAGGTTAAGCTCATAAGGAAAAGCCCAAATCCCAACTAAAGAAAAAAAAAATTACTTTTAAAAACGTACATTGAAAAAGCAAAAAAATAATAAAAATACTTAACAAAAAAAGTAGCATACTTAAATAAACTAATCAAACCTATTCAAAAGACAAAAGGAACAACCAACCCTGGCTTGTTGAGTACAAATGCTGCTCAATTAATTGTTGGGGTTGATAATCTTCCAAGTTATTAACCAGATTTTTTTTTTTCCCTAAATTGATTGAAAATGGGCGTTTAATCATGTTTTCTCTTAGTAGAGCTTGAGTAGGTTTTGTTCATTTATATGTTCTAAGGAACACGAGTTTAATCTCACTATAATTTTCATATATTTATACTAGTTCTTACTTCTTGCTTCTTAGGGACAGATTCAGCAATTTAGTCTAGGCCGGATAGCCATTCAAATTTTCATAACAGTATAGGGGACAATCTTAAATAGCCCTTTAAGGTTTTTTGACAGTTAATAATAGCGTTATCAGAAGTATTTCTCGGAAAAAAAAATTTGGTGAGAATTTGTCAAACTTTTGGGAAGTGATAGTTGTGAAGGAAAACTGAAATACTGACCGGTTACCCAGAAGTTTATGCAATCTGATGATGAGGTCCTTCTCATCTTCTGACATTCCACCAAGTTTTATGTTTGGTCTCAAGTAATTCTTCCACCTCAGCCTGCAGCTCTTCCCACCCCTCATCAAACCTGAGATAGAGTGTGAGAGAGAGAGAGAGATTAAATGGTTATCTAGTAGACATTTTGTTTCTTGAAAAGAAGGATGGTGCATGGTGATTTACCTGCTCTGTGAGAAACAGTTGCCCATTTACCTTCTCCATAAGTCTCCACATACTTCTTCAAAATCAAGTCCTCTTCTGGTTTCCACAAGCCTTTCTTCAACTGGGGCATCACTTCCTTAGTCCCCATTCCCCCCTCTCTCTCTCTCTCTCTCTCTCTCTCTCTCTCTCTAGATCTAGAGTCTGTGTAGTAAAGAAAAAATGGATGTAGATGGGGAATTTGTATAGGCATGAAAGGTGGGATGTCCCTAGTAGAAAAGTTTCAGTCACTCGTGCATGGATTGAAGTGTGGGCCCTATTAATAATGCTCCCCTTTGAGCTTTGATTTCCTCTTGAAAGCAAATCTACGTTCCACTTCCTTGAAACAATTATATGACGGAAACCCACATCTGAAAAATTTGTAGTAGAGAGACAACATAACTATTTGGAAGAAACATTTGATTGTTTAGGGTTACCCTTGTAACTATGTGTCTCGATTCAATCAAATCTCTCAAGTTTTAATTTTAATGGAACATTGCTTTAATTAGCTCATCACCGTTAATTCTTATCATAAAAAGAGATGAAAATTAATCGTATGTATACCGTTTGTTTCTATTAGAGTCACGAGCTTGTTGTAATTGATGCTAAAAGGAGACGTTGATCTTATATCATTCATATGAGCTATTAACCCTATCCTATTGAAAACTTGTAATAGACATATTAACATATACACGTGCAGGGAAATATTGAATCGGGCCCTATCCCGCCGGTGCAACGGGCCTTCATTGTGAACTGGGCCATGCCCACGGCCTTATCTAGCATGCTTTCGGATCACCACTTGGATGGGCCGGACAGGACCATGGGCAACCAGTTGTCGGGTTTTGGGACAATATTAAGGTTGCTTACTTTTTTCGAAGGCTTACATTATTAGTGTGCCCTATTAAAATTAATTAGTAACATCATTAACAAAAGACAGACTTTGTATCGTTCAATTCAATGGAACCATCCGATCACCACCCACTCGACGATTATTTTCTCCCCTTTGCAATGCAGTTGTTTTGTATGTTAGTGCGAACAAAACATCATTATTGCTTTTTTGGTTTAGATTTGGAAGATCCTTCGACGTGACTCGATGTGTTTTCATGAAACCCCACGTTTGCTTTTCAAAGAATTCCTCGGGATTCTGAAAAAATAATTCAAGCACTTGTTCGAAAGACTCAGTCATTAACCCATGATGATTGTGTTAATAAGGTCCAATCATTGTACTTAAAAATTACTTTTTACCACTGTCTTTATTTTTTAGAGGGTTAATCGTAAGTTACACTCTAAAAGATTGTTCGAATCTTAATTTATATTTATAAATATTAAAAATCTCAATTTATACTTTCAAAAATAGAAATTTGTATCAATGTATACCCACAAAGATAAAAAATTTAAATTTACACCCCCAAAGATAAAAAATTGTATCAATATGCATCTAAAATTAAATTAATAAATTATACCTAGATCCCCTCATGCTTGTCACTTAATCATTTGGACCCCTTCACGTTTACAATATTACTCTCACATCTCATGGCGTTTGTGCACGTGTAACACGTAACCCTTTTTCATTAATATATGTTAATATAACCATTAAAAAATATAATTTTATACTAATAAAAAATTATAATTTTATATTACCCTTTATTTTGTGGGTCTGATATACTCTAAAGTTCAAAATCAAGCTTATCATTTGAATATCCAAAAGAATGTAGATATTTATATAACATTTTTTATATCCAATACAATATATCACTCAATGTGCAACCCTTTATTCTATTAGACATTCAAATGATTAGTTTGATTTTGAATTTTATAGTATATTGGACCCATAAAATAAAGGGTAATATGAAATTATAATTTTTTATTAAGATAAAAGTAAATTTTTTAACGGTTATATTAACAAATATCAATGAAAAGGGGTTACGTGTTACACGTGCATAAACATCATGAGATGTATGAGTAATACTCTAAATGTGAAGAGGTCTAAATGATTAATTGACCAGCATAAGGGATCTAGGTATAATTTATCAATTTAGTTTTAGATGCATATTGATACAAATTTCTATCTTTGATGGTACAAATTGAGATTTTTTTTATCTTTGGGGGTGCACATTGATACAAATTTCTATATTTGAGGATGTAAATTAAGATTTTTGATCTTTGGAGGTGTACATTGATACAAATTTCTATCTTGGAAGGTGCAAATTGAGATTTGAATGATCTTTTAGGGTGCAATTTACAATTAACCCTTTTTTATATAATGAATTTAATGTCACACCTATAAAATGTTTATGATCTAACATTACTTTATTATTTTCATGGTTAAAGGCCAAAAATAAATTACATGAAATTTTGGGACTTTTATTTGTATTTTAATATAAAATTTATCATACTTTTATTTGTGGTATGCTCTGTTTAGTAGGAAGGATACATTTTTTATCTTTTAAAGAAAGAAAGTAAAGATGATACATTTTCCTTCCTTTATATTTGGTAGAATGAATGGAATATAAAAATAAATTATTTTTTTTGGTGCTTGGTAAGTTGATTTTTTTTTTAAATTTTAATTTAATATAATTTTTTTTATTAAAAATATAAATACAATGATAAATAAATATATATATATATATATATAGACAAATAAAATACATTTTAACACAAATAATTAATTTTTCATCCACTTTTCTTCCAATGTTAGAGGGATTGATTTTGGTGAGTTGGAAGAAAAGCTCATTCATCCACTTTTTCATTCTTCATATTTTTTTCGCATAAAATATGATATTTTATCTCTCTCTCCAACTTTTCATCCTTCTATCTTTTTATCTTTCTTTTTTTCCGTCATACCAAACGGAGAAACTATAGTGCCCCTAACTTGTTTTTTGATGTAATATCGAAATATTTAGAAAGGAAATTTGAAGTTACAATTCAATATGTTGTGATTATTATAAAGTGAAATTGTTTGGTATCAAGTCTAACATTTACAATTATAATATAATGTTAGGTTTGATCCCAGTATCTTTAGTTGATTCTAACATTTTATTCTATAGTTTGATCATGTTGAATAGCAATTTGACTCAAATCAATAATAACGAACTCTTATTTAGTCATAGCATTCACTACAAAATGGGACATTTTTTGGAATTTAACAAGGAGCTGACACGTGTCCTTGGCATAAAGGACGTGGACGCTTCCTCGAGCGACATGTGGCCTCAGCATGAAGGTACCCCAAACATTGCGTACATTGACACGTGTCATCAGCATGCATTCCTCGGAGCTTTCTACGACTGACGTGTGTTCTCGGCGTTGGCAACCCAGAGCATTGCGAGGGTGACACGTGCCCTCGACTTATGTTCTGTCCCGAGGGACCTTCGCCAGACACGTCACCTCGACGCCGAGTCTCCCACGCAGGCGGAGTATGAGTAACAATTTCAATGGCTACTATAACATTGAAACAAAGTTGGATGCCAGTCATAAGCTTCTCTTCCCAAGGCAATTAGAGTTGGAGAAGGGACAGATCAGTAACCAATAATAGGGATGCACGAGGTGCAGAGCACAAAATTAGAAGGCAATGGACAAAAGTGCCCCTGTGCATACGTTGTCACCACAAGAAAACATTAAATGACCCTTTAAAGGGATGAGACATTTATTGTTGAACGAATCTCAGAAAAAGAGCATTAAATGCTTGGGGATCCGAGCATTAAATACATAAACTTCTTTCCTCATGATAAGGAAGACACTCTGTCCAAGGACTGTGCTGCACAAGTCACCTTCTAAATGGGCTAATGAGAAGCTTCCTCTCCAAGGGACCCACCTGTCCACAATGATTACTTTCATGGAGGTATAAATAATTCTTATAAATTCAAAACAAAGATACGCACACTCTCACCCCAAGCAATAGAATAGTGAATTTGCACCCTTCTCTCACGTACTAACTTGATCGTCAGAGGGGTCACGCCGAAAAACACTATGACGTCTTTCTAACATTTATTTTTGGGTGACAGAGTTCATCTCCATAAGCTGGGACCTTCCAGACTACTGGAAAAGTAATTCATCACCACTTCTTATATCATCTCCCACATCCTTTTGTTACGGGACCATCGACTTTTCAGGTAAAACTCACATTCACCAAGTGAGAGATCTGTCCAGTGTTGGCCCAATCTTTAGGTCGTTTAGGCCATTGCCTAGGGTCCCCAAATTGAAAGAAAAAAAAATAAAAAATTTAGAATATAATTTAAATACTACATATATTTTAATCATTGAATTAAGAGTGAGTGCTAACTTTAAACAAAATCCACTATTTATCTAATGTACTTGCTCCTCAAATTTAGCGCAACTAGTATTATTTTGTTAAAAAAATTAGAATATCTTTCAAAAAAATTTAAGGTCTTAAAGTTTAACTTATTTTTTTATCTCACCCGATATTTATATTATATATATTATCACTTTGTAGTCCTATTATTAAAATCAATTGTCTATCATATAATAGGTGTGAATAATAATTTTACATTTATATAAATTAAATTTGAGGTCATTTTTTAATAACTTTTTTTACAATGCATAAGATAACTATAAAATAGACTAAGTAGAAGTACTGCACTGGTTGTCTTTTTTATTTATAAAAATAGCTCATTTTTTCTATGATGTCTAATAACTATGAGTAATCTATGCCTAAAAACACGGTACAACGTAAGTGAGAAGTGATAGATTTAGGAAAAAATTCAATTTGAATAATTTTGAGAGAGATTTTGGTGATCGTTGGATAATTCTATTTGAGACAATCAGTTGGACTTATTGAAGCTTGTCATGTTTTATATTATAAATGTCTCATTTATTTTAGGACTACTCAACTTGTATAAATTCTTATTTTTATATACATTTAGAAAAAAAAATTTATTTTATTGGTCAAACTAATTTTCAATTATGTTTTTCTTTTATCTTAAACAAATAGTATATATCATAGTATTTGATCTCCGTATTTGACTTCGATTAACACAATTTTTATTTTTAAAATTTGAATTAGTATGTTATCTCAAAAGACAAAATAAATAATTTGTAAATAAACATATTTTAATAAGTATTTAGTATTATTATTATTACTGAATAAATATTTATAGGGCCTCGTATAACATGTTCGCCTAGGGCCCCAAATTAGGTTAGGCCACCCCTAGATTTGTCCATTCATTTATTGTGCGAAAATCACTTTCTTGAGAAAGAATGTGGATGTGTTCGCGTGGGACACCGTGGAGATGAAAGGTATAAGTCCGGATGTCATAACTCACAGACTTCATGTCGACCCCCCAATCATAAGCCCGTCAAGCAAAAGTCTCAGCGTACGACGCCGCACTATGCCTAGGCAGTGAATGAAGAGGTAGAGAGGGTCCTAGAGACCGATGCCATCCGGGAGGCACAGTTCCTAGAATGGTTGTCGAACACCGTCTATGCAAATAAGAAGACTAGAAAGTGGGGCGTTTGCATGGACTTCACGGACCTGAACAAGACTTGTCCCAAAGATGATTTTTCTTTACCTAAGGTTGATCAGTTGGTCGACGCCACGCCTGGACATGAACATATGACCTTCATGGACGCTCGAGTGAGCTATCATCATATCCCCCTCCACCCATCTGATCAGGAGAAGACTGTCTTCATCACTCCGAGAGGGGGTCTACTATTACAAAGTCATGTCGTTTGGATTAAAGAACGTGGATGTCATGTACCAGAGGCTTATGGAGACGAATGTTCAAGCGACAATTGGGGAACATTATGAAAGTGTACATTGACGACATGCTGGTCAAGAGCAGGTGTTAGAGCGACCACATTGCGGACTTGGAAGACGTCTTCTCCACTCTCTGTGAGTATGGCCAGAAGATGAACGCAACTAAGTGTTCCTTTGGAGTTGGCTCTTAAAAGTTCCTGAGGTACTTAGTGAGTCGGCGTGGTGTCGAGGCTAACTTGGAGCATATACAAGTTATCATGGACGTACGTAGCCCCTCGACCATTCCAGATGTCTAGAAACTTACGGGAATGTTGGTCGCCTTAAATCCTTTTATATCTCGGTAGTCGAAGAAGTGCAAGCCCTTTTTTGGCGCTATCAAGAGATCGGAGAAGGATATTTGGAATGAAGAATGTGAGAAGGCACTTGGAGGGATCAAGGAGTACCTCACCTCCCGACCCTATCTGTTCCAAGCAAGGGGAGATGTTGTTCCTCTATTTGGGCATTTTCGAGTTTACCATTAGTGACGTACTAGTCCACGATCATGAGCATGAATAGAAGCCAGTGTATTACCTGAACAAAGCTCTCTTAGCTGCGGAGACAAGATACTTGCCTTTAGAAAAGCTTGCATTGGCACTAGTCATAGCTGCAAGGAATTTAAGACATTATTTTCAAGCGCTACCCGTCACCGTCCTAATGGACCAACCCTTGAAGGCGATTTTAAGGAAGATGGATCTCTCTAGGAGGGTAGCAAAATGTGTCGTGGAGTTGGGAGAAAATGACATTCATTATAGGTCTCGCACAGCTATAAAGGGTCAAGTGTTAGTGGACTTCATAGCTAAATTTACCAAGGGATAACAACCTCACCCCAAAGCAGAGCCCTTCACAGACAACAAATTGCGCTCTTAGAGACTCTATGTGGATGGATCCTCCAACAGCAAGGGTTCCAGAATCAGAATGTTATTGGTTTCCCTAGAGGGATTTGTCACAGAACAAGCCATATGGCAGGGCTATAAGGCATCCAACAATAAGGCAGAGTACGAAGCCCTTATCTCTGGACTCAAACTTGCCAATGCAGTTGGGGTCACGGAGCTAATGGTTCATTGTGATTCTTTACTAGTATTCAACCAGATCAATAGGGAGTTCGAAACGATGGATCCAAGAATGAAGGCTTATCACTACAAGGCAATGATCCTACTCCACAAGTTTAAAAATATGGAAGTCAAGTAGGTCCCCCCAGATAAGAATGCCCACGTCGATGCCCTAGCATGTTTGGCATCGGCGTTGGACTCTAACATGAAACAAAAGATTAATGTGGAGTTCCTTCCTAACTCCTAATAGACGACGTCCCTAGAGTGGTATCCATCTTGGAGGGGGAGGAGTCCCCTAGCTGGATTGATTTGCTACTCAAGTTCCTTGTCTCTAGAGAACTCCCTAAGTGTTCCAAGGAAGACAAAAAGATAAAGTTAATGGCTCTGAGGTTCTGAGCCTCCCCGAATCAAAAATTGTACCAAAAATCGTTCTTCGGACCCTATTAGCTTTGTGTCAGTGAAGATAAAGTTGAGTCTCTCCTATACAAAGTGCACGAAGACATATGTGGGGGGCACTCAGGTGGACGATCAATGGCCCATCATATCATGTTGTACGGATATTGGTGGTCGCGGATGGAAAGGGATGTGCAAGCTTACTTTCGAAAATGTGACCCATGTCAAAGGTTCGCTCCCACCATCAAACAACAAGTAGCAAATTTTCATTTGCTAATCAATGCTTGGTCGTTTGCCTAATGGGGACTCGACCTAGTCGAACCCCTCCCAAGGGCTCTAGAAGACAAGAAATTCCTAATAGTTGGGATCAATTACTTCACAAAGTGGGTCGAGATAGAGCCATTGACTCAGATCAAGGACATAGACGCAAAAAGGTTCTTGTGGAGGAACATATTGATGAGATTTGGGGTCTCCATGCACTTGTGTCGGATAACAGGACTCAGTTTAACAACGGACCCCTCAAATCGTTTTGTAAGCACCTCAAAATCAGGAAATACTACTCCACGCCCTTGTATCCTCAAGCCAGTGGACAACGAAATCTTCAAATAAGACCATCGTTAGTGGAATCAAGAAGAGAATGGAGGAAGCTAAGGAGAAATGGGTGAATGAGCTCCTGAATGTCACTTGGGTTTACAGAAAAACCCTATGGACCTCGACAGGTGAAATACCTTATGCACTTGCGTACGAAGTAAAGGCAGTAATCTCGTTGGAGGTAGGCCTCCCTACTATAAGAATGTAAGCTTTCGATACTAGAGAAAATGATCACCAACTCAACCTGGACTTGGACCTCAAGGAGTATAGAAGAGAAATGACGACCTTGAGACTAGCTAAGTACCAAGAGGGGGTGTCCAAACTCTACAATAAAAGAGTAAAACCCTGAAAATTCCAAGTAGGTGACTTGGTACTCAAAAGAGTAGTCAGAAACACTCATAACCCTACTGATGGAAAAATAGGGCCTGATTGGGAAGGGTTATACAAAATTACGTCAGTGGGAGGCTTTGGGTCATACAAGTTAGAGGATATGGAAGGAAATGATGTACTTCAGCCTTGAAATGCAATAAATTTGAAAAAGTATTATTTTTTAGAAACAAAGGCTTATTTCTACCAAGTGTGTTATCTCAGAAGGGGTATTACACCGGAGGTGGACTCTTAGGACTCTTGCCTCCAAAGAAATAAAATAGTGAAGCCTCCTGGATGGGGCATGGTCCCGAGGGTAAGGCCTTATAAAAATAAGACTTGCCCCCAAAAGACCCAAGGAGCGAAGCCTCTTAGATGGGGCGTGGTCTTGAGGGGAGGCCTTAGAAAAAGACTCACCCTAAAAAAGTCCCAAGGAGTGAAGCCTCCTGAATGGGGCATGACCCAGTGCAAGGCCTTAGAAAAAGAAGGTTTGCCTCAAAAAGATCCAAGGAGTGAAGCCTCATAGATGGGGTATGGTCCCGAAGGTGAGACCTTAGAAAAAGACTCACCCAAAAGGAAAAAAAAACACTCAAAGGCCGAAGCCTACGAGATGGGGCATGGCCCCCGAGGGGGAACACTTAGAAATTTCTCCATGAAGAAGCCGAGGCTGAGGGAGGCCACTACCCCCAAGGAGAAAGAAGATACTAGCCTCAGGTCTTGGGACCTCGGTCTCGAGGAATTGCACTTCGAAAAAAAAGGAGAAGAAAGAAGAGACAAACACTTAGAAAAAAGGGCGTTCTTGTATTAAAAGAAGGGAGGGCTTTGCATCCCTCAAGCTATAAAAAATAGAAACTAAGTTACAAAGAAGACAAAAAGCTAAGTTCTAGGAGGCCCAGTGACCTCGCTGCAGATGTCGCCTCCAAGATCGCCAAAAAGCTCGTCAATGTTGGCAAAGAAATAGTCAATGTTGAGAATGAGGTATTGGGTCGGTAGGAACAGTAGAAGGTTCACCCTAAGGGAAATACATAGTAACATGGAAGACAGAAGTTAGAGCTGAAGCTGAAGCAGTGTCGACGGGAGGAAGAGCAGAGTCATCCCAAGACGTGGGAGTAGGGGCCACAGTCTCGGGTGTTGGAACTGAGTTTGGGACTTGGTACATCCTAGCATCTTCAGCCGCGACGTCGACTACGGCTTGCATTATCTATACAAAAGAGGTGTACTCGTGCTCCTTGAAGAATAGAGACTTGACAAGGACCCCAGCAACCCGAAAAGCCTCGTCCCAACAAATCTTGAAGTGCTCACTCTTAGTCTCTTCGAAAGCCACCAAGATGTCATCAACGCATTGGTCGAATATTTTCTATTCTGACTTGTTTTTCTTCTCCAACTCAGCCCTTAATTTGTCTAATTCTTGGGTGAGCGAAGCACAAGTTTGCTCTGACTCGGTTACCCTCGCCTCGGCCAAAGACACCTGCTTCGTCACCTTGGTCATTTTTTTCTCAATGTTGGCAGGTGAAGCAATGATCTTGTCAATCTTCCCTTTGGTAGCTTGGCTCTCCTTAAAGAGCTCGACAATCTGGGCTCCCTGAGTAGATAGGTTCTAGTCTCGAGCAGCAACTTCCTCCGTATCTGAGGCAAGAGCTCCTTAGGTCTTCTCTAGGTCAGCTTGGAGTCTCTCGCACTCTTGGATCTTGTCCCAATGAGCATGAAAGCGCTTAGCGATGACAGACACTTGTTGAATCACCTTAAAAGCAATGTAAGGGAAAGATTACACTAAGAGGAGTGCTAAAAAAACAAAGAAAGAAAAAAATTCACAAGTGTCTAATCCTTACCACAAAGGAGTTCTAGATAAGGCTGTGAAACAAGTGATTGCTCCTATGGCCCGATGAATCACCATGTCGGAGTCAAAATGGATTGCCTTACTCACGACGTAGGCAATGTGGGGAGAGGCAATGATGGAGTAAGTCACCAGGACCGGCTGGTTGTCGCAATCTTGGGCTCTATCTCGTCATTTCGAAACAGTAAGGGTCACCGTCGGCAATGGTGTCGACGTCGGTGTTGGAGTTGGTGTTGAATTAGGAATGCCTTTGCCTTGGCCACTATATTGTGGCTTTACTTTACTCTCCTTTCCTCATGTTGAGCATCCCTTTCATGGCCTCGGCCGCACCTAGTTGGCGTTGGCACAACAGGGGCGTCTGCGAAAAGAGGAGTGGGAAAGGGTGTGGACCCTTGGATTGGAACGCCGAAAGGGCAAGTGCGAACCTAATTGGGTGTGACATTGGAGCCCAATCCACGACCCCTTTTCGATGGAAAAAGTGGTTCTCTCCTTGATCAGACCAAGGGATAGGCAAGGTGGATTGGATATGGCTACTTCCAAAGCGTCTTCTTCATTTAAGTTTTGAAGAATGTTGAAGTATGGTCAAACATCCCTGCCTGAATTACTCGCCTCGGCATGGATGGTGGTGGATGGATCCTTCAACTCTTCAGCGTCGGTGGTAGTGTCTTTGACAACCCTTAACTCAGTCTCAATGGCTTTGTTAGGGTCTTCTTCCAAGTTATCCCAAGATAGCACCGACCACCTAGCCGAATCGAATGGTTGGGGGGTTTGGGAGAAGTTTCTGTACCCCAGAGTATAGTCTAGCAAAATGTGCGCGGGCCTGATTGAGCTCGTTGCCTAGGTATCCCCAAATGGTGATGATGTCGACAAGGTTGACGAGGTTCCAAGGGGGCGAAGCAAACTCGACATTGAAAACTCCTACAAAGAGCAACAAGTAAATGATTAAAAGATAGACAATGATCCGTCAAGGTCATAAAAGCCAAGAAGAGAGAGAGAGAGAAGTCTACGTACACGTTGTTCGCCATTCCTTGGGGCACCACAAATCGGTGTACTTGGGGCCAACTCCTCTCTCCCATTAACCGCTAAAGACTAGCAAGTCGTCCTTGTACCCCTTGTCTGAGTCTGGGAGGTGTGTCATAAGGTACGTAGAGGGGTCTTGGGCCTTGAGATAAAATGTCTGCTGAGGCATCACCTTCACCAAAGTGTAGCAAAAAAGGATGTCTTTCAAGCTAAGGTTGACTTGAAGATGCTCGTTTAGGGCCACCACTCCCATGATGATCCTAAAGTTTTTTAGGCAACACTGCCCCAGAAAAAGGCAGAATCGGGATAAAAAACGAAGAAGGATAAGGTGGTGAAGGAATTTGATGCCACCCTCCATGATGGCTTTGGTGTAAAAATGCATGACCACCTCGGTGCTAACGCCGGTATTGTGGAGTGCATAAATGAACTTGTTCATAGTAACCCCGACAGGAATGGAGTAATGGGTCTTAAAATTGGTAATTTGTTGGTGACCCTTGATAGTATATTTCCTTGGCCTTGAGGGACTTGCCTCATCATCCTCAACGTTTGAACTTCGATGACGTCTAGGCATGGTTTTAGTAGAAAATAGGACTCAAAAGTGAGGCTTCCTAAGGATGGGGAGCCTGAGGGTCACTACTAAAGACGTAATGAAGAAAAATGAAGACAATAAGGAGAATGAATAGAGGGAAAGTGACCACAAAAGGAAAAGATAGAAAAAAAAAAAGGACAGATACTCATCAATTAGCACAACTCTGCTACAGAGGAGAGGTTGGTGGCTTCTTTCCCCAGTGAACACCGAGGACTTGATGGCTTTCAAGATGAACTATGGATTTTTCGAGTAGACTTTGGTGAAAGTCTCTTGTCTCATGAAGTTGGCAAAAGCAGATAAGAGGGGCGAGGTATTTGTTTAAATAAGGCTCAACGCCATAATTGCACACGATGAACGAGAAGGGGCGCATTAAATGAGGCACAAACCCCATGGAAGGGAAAGGGGATAAACGTGGGAGCAGGGATCAAGCCCTTTCATCTTCTCATGTCACGTCTCTCTCGTCATACAAAGATCAAGGGCTAAGGGCAGTTGATGGGACATTTCTAGGAGTTTAACAGGGAATCGACACGTATCCTTGGCATGAGGGATGTGGGCACTCCCTCGAGCGATGCGTGTCCTTGTCATGAGTATCCCTCTGATTGCTCTGAAAGTGACATGTGGCCTTAGCATGAAGGTACCCCGAACACTACATAGATTGACACATGTCATCAGCATGCATTCATCGGAGCTCTTTTCGACTAAAAACGTGTCCTCGGCATTGGCAACCTGGAGCATTGCTAGGGTGACACGTGCCCTTCGCTTATGTTCTGCCCCAAGGGACCTTCTCCAGACACGTCACCTTGGCACCTAGTCTTACACATCGGCGGAGTGTGAATAGCAATTTTGATGGTTATTGTAACTTGGAAGCAAAGTTGGATGCCAGTCATAGGCTTCCTTTCCCAAGGCAATCAGATTTACAAAATAGACAAATCAGTAAGCAAAAATAGTGACGCATGATGTGCAGAGTATAGAATTTGGAGGCAATGGACAAAAGTGCCCCTACTCGTACACAGCCACCATAAGGAAACATTAAATGAACCTTTAAAAGGATGAGGCATATTTATTGCTCAGCGAATTTCAGAAGAAGAGCATTAAATGCAAAAACTTCTTTTCACATGACAAGGAAGACACTCTGCCCAAGGACCATGCTCCACAGGCCACCTTCCAAATGGGCCAATGAGGAGCTTCCTCTCGAAGGGACCCACCTGTGACCTTTCCATAATGATTACCTCCATGGATGTATAAATAGCTCTCACAAATTTAAAACAAAGGTACGCACACTCGCACCCAAGCAATAGAATAGTGAATTATCACCCCTCTCTCACGTACTGACTTAATCGCCGGAGGGGTCACGCCAAAAAATACTCGGGAGCGCCCTTCTAACCTTTCTTTTTGAGTGACAGAGTTCATCTCGATAAGTCGGGACCATTTGGACCGCTAAACCATCGACTTTCTAGGTAAAACTCGCATTTACCAAGGGAGGGATCTGTCTATTCATTTATTGTGAAAAAATCACCGTGCACAATAACCTCAGTGCAATACCTAAGCAAACACTTTTCTATGATCCGAGCAACCAAAATGCATCATCTTAATGAGATATAGGTGAGGACAATGAGTAATGGAGGATTTTTAATGAACCAATTTAATTATATGAGTAGATAGAGAAATTCTTCACCTTGGGTATGGCCAAACATCTTTCGGAATCATAACTACAACAAAAAATTCATATATAAATTATTTGAAAGTCATGTATATCTATATTACTTCTAAATGTACACATATTGGAAAAATATTTATTTCCCTCTTTTACCCTCTAGCAACTCTTAAATATCCAAAATACCATACACTTGAATAAGTATTCATTAAAAAATACATTTATTTATTTGAGTGACTTTTAATGTCTCACCATCCATTAAATTATCTATATGTAGCCTCTCGACTTCTACGGCCCCTTCTCTTCCTTAGGGCAGCTCTACAGTCACAAGTTACTTTTGTAATTTGGTATGTAATTATAATAGTTGTAAATGTAATGACAGTAATTTTAACACTTCTTTTTTTCATGCTCTCTTTTTAATTTTGATCACAGACAAGAAACTTTATAAACAAAACCAATTTTTTTTTGGGTTAATCTCATTTTGCACCCCGAAAGATTGTTTGAATCTCAATTTGCACCCTCAAAGATTAAAAATCTCAATTTACACCCTCAAAGATAGAAATTTGTATCAATGTGCACCCCCAAAGATTAAAAATCTCAATTTACACCCTCAAAGATAGAAATTTATATCAATGTGCACCCCAAAGATAAAAAATCTCAATTTACACCCTCAAAGATAGAAATTTGTATCAATGTGCACCTAAAACTAAATTGATAAATTATAACTAGATCCCCTCATACTTGTCACTTAATCATTTAGACCTCTTCACATTTAGAATATTACTCCTACATCTTATGACATTTGTACACGTATAACACGTAACCCATTTTCATTGATATCTATTAATATAACCATTAAAAAATATAATTTTATCCTAATAAAAAATTATAATTTCACATTACCCTT